AGGCCTGATGGTGCTCGGCCTAGTGTCTCTCTCCCAGATGACATCAGACTTCCTCTGAATAAAGATGCAAAATTATGGAGACAAAGGACTTTATCGCTTGGCTAATAAAGTATTTTACCTAAACTGAATTTAATTTTACATTGGGCTGCATCCGGACCCTATCATAAAGATTTTGCCGCTGAAATCGCTGCCCGAAAGCTAGAAATCTCCCAGTTTCGAAAAGAGGCGCCTCGGAACAGGGATGGACCCAGGCTGCATTTGGGTGGCGATTTCAGCGGCAAAATCTTTGTGACAGGGTCCGGATGCAGCCTGATTTAAAATTAAATTTGATTCCCATAAAATGCTTTATTTTAGCTATGTGATAAACCTTAAAAAAGAGCCTTTCACCTTAGTTGGGTGGAGTTTGAGAGTCTTTTGCCAGGACATATACTATATAGCCCTATGCTGTATGTCAGTGTAGAAGTAGACCTGTGTTCAATGAAAAGATCACAAAGAAGTTAGCCCTTTTAAGGGAGGCTGGATGTAAGAATTATATTGGACTGTGCGGTGTTTGCTATGGCAAGATATATAATGACAGCCACCTGTTGGGATGGCTTCAAAGGGGCACTAGAAAAATGAAGGTACGATAAGGCTACTGATCAGCTCCAGGATCAGAAACAGCATCCCTCTGTACCAGATTGGAAAGCCATAGGAGAAGTCTGGCTGGCATCTGGACTGTATACGGGTTGCATTTGCCCAGCCACGGCTGAATGTGATCACACCCATTTGGAAAATTAAAGGCACCTTTTTTACCCTGTTGGGGATAAGGTGCTTTAAAGCCAATATGCTAATCCAGGGGTAGGCAACCTAAGGCCCGGGGGCTGGATGCAGCCCCCCGAGGCCTTTGGACCGGCCCCAGGCCAGTCCTGCCGCCAGCGCTACTGCCCCCTGCCGCCGCCCGCCATGATGATATTAATTATTGTTGTTATTACTTGTTCTTGGGATTTTCTTGGCAAAATCTCCACAATGGATTTTGCCATGGCTTTGCTGGGGCTGAGAGAGTGTGCATGCATATATTTTTTTAATTTTTAATTTTTTAAAATAATTTTTTTAATTTTTTATTTTTATTTTTATTTATTAATTCATTAATTTTTGGTGCTTCGGCCCCCCAATTATCTGAGGGACAGCAACCCGGCCCCCCGGCTCAAAAAGGTTGCCTGTGCTAATCTCTCTCACACACTCTCTCTCTCTCTAAAAAAAAAAAAAAAAAAAAGGCAAATTAAATAAGTAAATGAATGAATGAAGCAACTTCCCCCCCCCCCCAAACAAAGCCCTTCCAATCCAGAGAGTGTCCTGAAAGTCCCTCTTTGTCTCTGTTCCCAGGGGAGCAAGGGGACCAGAGGCCAAGGAGGAGGAGAAGGTCCCACAAAAGGGAGAACCTTCAAGGGAAGAGAAAAAGGAAAAGAAAAGGGGGAGGGGAGAGAAAAGCTCAAAGCATTCCTATCAAATATAATATCCATAAAGAGAAATCCAGGCTGCTGAAGCCCTGCTCCAGGGGGACTAGAAGGGCTCCATGGAGCAAGGAGGGCCACCTCTGGGCTGGGGCTGCCCAGTCCTTCTCCCTCCTGCTGGGGGCGCCAGAGGGCGGCCTTTCTCCCCTCTTTCTCCCTCCTCCTTTGCTCTGAGAGGGAGGTCAGGCATGGAGGAGCGGAGGCAGGGCTGCCCTGTGCCCACCGGTGCCAAGCAGGTAAGCTCCCATTCTTCCTTCCCATGACATCCCCGCAGGAGTGGTTTGAGTGTTGGACTCCCGCTCTGGGGACCAGGGTTCGAATCCTCCCCGCCCCTTCCTTGGGAGAGTCACACTCTCTCAGCCTCAGGAAACTCCATAAGTTGAGAGGGTCGCCGTAAGTTGGAAACGGCTTGAAGGCGCACCGCAAGCCCTAGTTACCCCCGTCTCTCTTTCCCCCAGACACCCAAGGCACCTTTCATGGGGGCTGTTTTTAAACAGTACATTAATGGGGTGCGTTTTATTTGAAGCCCCGTTCTAGTTAATATCATTCTCCCTCTGAAGGACTGGGCTAAGCGGGGCTGGGCTGCTTTCATCCTACTCTGTGGAAGAGCTTCCTTTGACTTGACTTTTCTTGGTTTGTTTTTAAATGCATTTTATTCTTCGAATGGGTGGTGTGTGTTTAATAAGACAGAGAGCCCTGTTCGTCTGGGAAACCGTCTGCCAAGGGATTTTGTACCCTTCTGAGATTAAAACTTAAAAGAAGAAGTTGGTAGCCTGAGCTTTCCGAAGACTAGATAGAGCCAACTTCCTAAAATATGCCTCTGAGGAAGGAGGCTCAAGTCTAGGAAAGCTCATGCTTCTCTTGTGGTGGTGGTTGTGTGCCTTCAAGTCCTTTCCAAACTGAACCTATCCTGGGGTTTTCTTGGCAAGATTTGTACAGAGGAGGTTTGCTGTTGCCTTCCCCTGAGGCTGAGAGAGTGTGACTTGCCCAAGGCCACCCAGTGGCTTTCCATGGCCAAGCTGGGAATCAAACCCACGTCTCCAGAGTCACTGTCCAGTGCTCAAACCACTACGCCATGCTGGCTCTCCTAAAGCTCATGCTACCAACTCCTTTCTTGCAGTTATATGTCTCAAAGGTGCTGCAAGAGCCCTTGGCATAGTGTTTAATCCTGCCGTAGCCTGGTTCTCTCCTAATGTTACCACTTTGTATGTTTTTAATTGTACTATTCTTTTAAATTGTGAGCCACGTTGAATCCCAGCTTTGGGGGACAAGCAGGATATCAATATAACAACAACAGTAATAGTTTGGAAAGGTTATTTTGTT